TATATTAGTGCACAGAGAATACTTATTTTATTAAGGTTTCCGTGTGAGCTGGTACAATATCTAAAAACTGTGCTCTGGAACTGGACATATTATAAATATACTAAATAACAGGGCCCCACTTCAACATTACCAACACCAAATATTTTGATACACAACAAGCTTCTTCTACCAACATAAATCATATCTATCTATCTATCTATCTATCTATCTATCTATCTATCTATCTATCTATCTATCTATCTATCTATCTATCTATCAGAAAGACATTTGTGTATGCTTTTTTCTTCGCAGTCATCAGCTAGCTTCATATTCTCATCATTAGCTATTTTAGCTTTCAGCTTTGCTGAAAGAAGCCCATTTGTTACAGAACTAGAATGAGTCATGACAGCAGTAATTTATTGTTCATCAGAGGCTCCAGTCAGACATCTTTGCTATGCTATCTCTTTAGCTAACCCAGTACAATGGGAACCATTTGTCATGTATCAAATATGTATTTGTAAAACAAAAAGTGTCTAAATAAGAAAACAAATATAAACTACTGCTTTAAAAGCTTATAAAATCTAAAACACAACAAAATGACAAAAGCCGTTTTCATTTTAGGGGGAAGTAAAGGGGCTTTTGTTTTCATCCGAGCTTCCCTTTAAGAAGTCAATTTTTATATAAAACTCAGAAGCAGCTTTAGACACTGCTTTTCCTAAACATATTTCCCTAGACCACTGGGGCTGATAGCAGGGAGGCCCTCCCACCTAACACTCCCACTTTCTTCAGTTTAAGGAAGTGAGTGGGATAGGCTATCTCAGTATCTCCAGAAATGGAGGTAAGGCTCTGCAAGGCAGTGTACATAACTGACCAAAATAGGACTGTGCTTTACTCTACAAAAGTGGAATTTTAATTTAAGAGCCACATAAAAGTTGATTCTTGTTTAAATCATTTACAATGGCACGTATTCCACACACATTACAATTCAAGTGCTATAAATGGCAAGGAGTATATTAAAAAGTAAATGGACACCAGCTAATGATTTTAGTGCCAAGACTTTCATTTAAACTTCATTTGCGGTATGGTGATTCAGCATGCTCTGTCCTCTGTGTCATTGTTGTTAGAAGTTCATTTTTGATAACTATATTCTCTAATAGCTTACAAGGCTGTGACCACTTTCACTAGATAATAAATATGATCGCTTGTGGAAAGGACTGTAAATCTAGTAAATGCCATTGTGGACATTTCGGTGAATAAATTGGGGGAATGTAATTTCAGTATGAATAAATGGCACTTTCTTCTGATTGTAGGAAGAAGGACACATGGAAAGTAAATCTTGCCTTGACCCCTTTCAGTGGAAAGTTCAGCCATTTTATGTCTTGGACTTGTTGTTCTAGATAATAGCCACATCTGCTGCTGTAGTTAATGCCTGATTCCAGCAAATCAACTAAAAAGCGAATAAAATAAAAACAAAAAGATAGATAGATAGATAGATAGATAGATAGATAGATAGATAGATTTGTATCATTGCACTGTTTCAACATTAGACATTAAACTGTAAATCATTTTGAATGCAGGAACTGAATGGGCATATATACTTGTGCTTTGTGTACCATGTTACAATAAAAAAAACAGTTTTGAGGGGCAGAAGCCTATACTTGACTGATGTATCTTAGCCAACATAATGATTTTATTTCATCCCCTATACCACAGCTTAGAATGATGGGTTGAATTATTGGTGTACAGTGCAATGTTCCATTATAAGTCTATGGAGTTTGCCGCATTCAACCACTTCAGGGATGAAAATGCTACTAATGATGGCACATTGAACGTTACACCAATAATTCAACCTACCAATTAAAACTCTGAAGAAGGGGATATACTTTAACCCAGAAACATGTTGGTTACAATGATCAAATAAATCATGTTTAAATAAAAAACAAGTCATCCAAATTTTCTTCTATAAAGCTTTGCTTCACAAGATTAAAGTAGAGCATCTACATTAGGGCCATTATGCCTTGTGTATGTGAACAGACTAAAGTTCATGACACATAGAGAGGGGGATTTATCAAAACTGGAGCAGACAGGACCTGGAGCAGCATCCATGTTTCATTTTCATACCTTAACTGAACAAACTGAAGAGAGAAGCTGATTGTTTGCCACAGGCAACTGCTCCAGATTCTTCTGCTCCCCCCTAAATTCCCCACATAATGTGTGCTGTTATTTTATGATGTAAAAGGCACACATTAATGCAGCTCTGAATTAATTAATACATTTTTTTTTAATGATAGCAATGTAAGTACCTGAATTTTACTTGGTACCCCCTGCACAGCATATGTCAGATTGCAGGAGGGAGTGGTCACACAATGCGCCAGTCAGTTGTGCTGCAGTGTAGGGATCATGCTGATAGGAGATAGCAGAGTGGCAGAGAGATGAGCTCATCTGTCTGCTGCTTCCTGTTTTACTGTCCAATCACAGGCTGCGAGTGGGGAGGACACCTGTAAATGTTACTGTACTGAATCAGGTTTCCTCCCCTGCCGAACAAGGATGGGCTGTGTGGCAGGGCTGTGTAAGTCTCAGAACTGAATGGACAGATATACAAATCCTTTGAAAGATTAAAGAACCCCCATATATACGTATTTCATCTGTATATTGAGCCATTTGCTGGAGTTCAGGTTTAATAATAGATTGATAGAAATATATAGGTAGATTGATCAACATCACTATAAATACTTTGCAACTTATATTTTCACCAGTAATCTTACTATGAATGAAGAAGAACCTATAGGGAATAAATAATCTACCTTTAATGAGAGATCTTATTGGTACTGACATATTGTATGGGGAAATATAAACACTTTAATGCTTAATAAACTGAAGAGATTGAAGCACAATCATTAGCTGCTTGCTGGCTGGCTGTTTGTGTGTGCATGTGTGTATTTTTTCCCCAATCCCACGGTATGCAATGTCTAGTAAAACCTCTGACATATATCATTTGTTATTAAAGATATGCCTATGTAACATATTGCTCATTAAGACTCCAGAAAATCCACTGTTGTCACTTATAGGCTATGCTTGTCTTAATAAGACACAGTATGATGTGACTTTTCCTAATCCTACAATCAACTATAACATGATTTCTGTAACACAGAAATGAAACCTCTTTATGACCTATTTTTTCTATAGTGTGACAAGAACATAATGCAGCAGACAGGGATTAGGCCTGAAAACTCATAATTTGACACTGAGTTAAAATCAAAGACAGAATAATGTAGAAGGCATATTTATCTTTGAAAGGAAAATGGAAGTGCCTAGGCAACTAACTTTAATGGGATTGTATATTGTTTTTATATATAATTTACTTTTTTGTTATATTTACATCTAAAAAAATGCATTTTGTATAACTTTATTGGGATTGTATATAATTTTTAGATATAATTTAGTTTGTTCACATCTAAAAAAATGTTTTTATTATTTGTTTCATGTATTGTTTTATTAAGCAGCCTTTTAATGTCAGGGTGAACACTTGAGGTCTATAATATCAACTACGTTGATCACCTCTTTTATACAACCTCTTTAAAGTGACACTAAACTCATGAGTTAAATCTTAAAAATGTAAATACCTCAAATCAAGTACCTTAACTATTAATCATCTCTGAATTGATGCTGACTTTGTCCTTCTTTCTGGAGCTCCAAGCTCACTCCCTTGATGGACTTCAAGCACAGGTTTATTTGACTAATTTGTATTAGACATGTGCAGTTTGTTCCAAATTGAAATTCGGATGAAATTTTGGAAATTCCGAAATTTGTTAGCGGTAGTCTGGACGAAATTTTGTTTGTTGGACTCAATTTTGTTGCAGCAAAATTACATTAAAAAAAGTTTTTTTTATGTTAGTCTGCAGAAGAGGAAACAAAAAAGCATGAGGTTACCCCCCCAATTCATACCAGACCCTTTAGGTCTGGTAGGAATTTTAAGGGGGAACCCCAGCCCCAAAAAAATGGGAAAACAACGTGGGGTCCCCTCTAACATTCCTACCAGACCCTTGATCCGAGCCCTGGCCCGGCAGAGCAGGAAAGGGGGGGATGATCAAGCGCCCTCCCCTCCCTGCGCCGTACCAGGCCACGTGCCCTCGGCATTCGTAGGGTGTCCCCGTGCCGATTTGGACAAGGGCATCTTCCCCACAACCCTGACTCGGTGGTTGTGGGGGTCTGTGGGCAAGGGGGCTTATTTGCACCGGGGTACCCCTTTAATTAAGGAGGCACCCAGATGCCGCCCCCCCCCCCCCGTCCCCCCAGTGTCAGCACCAATTCAGAGATGATTTGAGGATCTACAGCCGAGTGATACATTTTTGTTAATGGTTAAGGTACTTGAATGTATTTTTTAGAGTGTTGTTTAGAGTTTAGTGTCACTTTAATGTTAGTGTTCAGTATTGTTCCAATAAGAGAAATTTCCCAACCCATTTGTGTTTCTTTTACAAAACTTTTTATCGGGGTATATAGTAAATGCAAGTACAATAGTTCAAAAGATGGGAAAGGGCTAACATGTCATCATTACTGTATATTCAACAATTGCAGTGTATACAATTTGATGGTTGTTAGAGTAGGATTTACATAGTAAACTTAAGATAATGGAAGCAATCAAACAACATGATGAGTAAAAAAAGAGGTTGCTGAACATTTATACATTACTCACAGTAATCCTGATCATGCTCTGATACCAATAATGGCAGTGTACGTGGGGCAGTGATGCATCACTCTTGTGACTTTTCAAAAAGCACCAATGAGGGGGCCAAGTACTGTTTAGGGGTTTGATGGGTGTCTGTTACAAAGTCTCTTTAAATACCAAGTGTAACCATGTAAACGCTGTAGCCATGATGTGGCTGCTGTTTAGTGTATCCTTTTTTGGAGCGCTAACAACAATTTCAAAAAAATATTTGTATGGGTCTCTCTCTGATTAGTAGCTTTAATCCATTCCTTTTTGAAAGATTTTGTAGTTTTATCAGGGAAGGTGGTTCATTTGAAATCTACCTCTGAAGCATAATTTTCCTGCCAACCACTAATAGGGTAAGGGATAGATGTCTGGGCCCTTTAGAAAATCTTTTAATGAATTCAACAGGTTTTGAGAATTGAAGCTTTTTATATGTACTTATTTTTTATTTTTTTTTTAAACATAGGGGGTTATTCACAAAACTGCCGAAGGATCTAGCCGTAGCTTCGGCTGATCCTTCGGCTAGCTTCGGCCTCAGGACCCCTTTGGTTCAGTAGAACCAAAGGGCTGCTGTACAGGCTATTCACTATAGCCCGTGCAGCTCCCGAAGTTGGCCGAGGGGCTCAGTCAAGCCGAAGGCATATGCTTCGGCTCGACTGAGCCCAGATGAAAGGCGAACCTGGCCGGCCGACAGCCTGCTACCGGCAGCTGGGCAGACCCAGCCGTCATCTCACAGCTGGCTCCGGCCACTTGCAGAGACAGATCAGCGTCCCCTGGTTACCAGGTAACCAGGGACGCTGATCTGTCATTACTCTGCCGGACGCTCCAGGAGGCTCCCGCTATTAGATAGCGGCTCCTGGCCACCCGGGAGAGAAACACTTTCTCCCAGAAAGGTTTTCTCTGCTCAATTGAGCAGAGTAAACTTTTCCCTGCTCTGTTTTTTTTCTTCTGACACAGGAGCCACCAGCCGTAATCAGTCAGAAAAAAAACCAGCATAGGAATGCATAGCTAGATTCCTATTGGCTATTTCACTTTGCAATAGCCAATAGCAAACTAGCTATTGCACCTGCCCACTGCTGCTGTCAATCAGCAGAGGGGACCTGCCATGCTCTATCAGGTCCTCTCTAGTGATTGACAGCAGCAGAGGGCGGGTGCAATAGCCAGCTTACTATTGGATATTGCAAAGTGAAATAGCCAATAGGAATCTAGCTATGCAGTCCTATGCCGTTTTATTTGTTTTTTTTATTATGACGGCAGCAGAATACTAAAAAGAAAAAGAAACTTGCAGATAGCAAAGAAGCTATTGCTTCCTCTGCTATCTGCCATCATGCCATCATTTCAGGGGGTGCTCTCTTGCCCCTGCATTACAATAAGAGCTTGGCAGAGCCTGAGGTGATATGAAAGCCGACTCTGCTGAGCTCTCATGGTACTGACAGTTCAGCGTCCCCTGGTTACTCGGTAACCAGGGGACGCTGATGTGTCAGTACCATGAGAACTCAGCACAGTTGGCTTTCATATCGCCTCTGGCTCCGCCAATCGTTTTCTTTTTTTTTTTTTTACTTTTTAAAACTGTTTTTCTATTCTGCTCGGGACATGGCATTCTGCTCTGTAGCATTCGGCTATTCACTCACTGCTGTTCAGCTTCTATGAGAATAGGCAGAACAGCAGAGAGTAGCCTGCACTTCGGGTCGGCCGAACATGATTAGCAGGTTTGGCCAACTCGAACCAGGCCGCAGCAAGCCGATGTACGGCTGATTTCAGTAGGTGTACAGCTGAAATCAGCCATACAAGCCTGAAGTGAATAGCCAAACAGCGTTCGGCTCAATTCACTTCGGGTCGGTTATTGTCAGGGCCCGGCTTGGGAAGAGTATGGTGAATCACAGCTGCGGTTCCAACTGGGGGTGTAGTGCGGTTGTCAGGCTTAAATCCCCGGCGGCTCTCTCAATCTTAAACGGAGAGTAGGGGATTAAGTCATCATGGACCGCTAAATAGTAATCCGTAATAACCTTCGATGTAGTACAGACTAATAACCCAATCCCTGATGATGGCAATCTTATCTGGAATTGAGGTGTGAGCGAATGGAGTAGTCTCTATGACAGATAACATCAATTCTCCCCTTCATACAGCATAACTGGGTATAGTATTGAATACATGAGAGAGGCGATACCCAAAGTCTCCACCAGAGGGCAGCGTCTGTGAGCCAGGATATAGTCAAGATATAGCTTGGAGATACTTGCAGTTTCCTGGTAGGTGCAATCAGATTCCTCCAAGAGATGTCCACTGGATGCTGGCTGCTGGGGAGCTGTTTCCTCCGTGAGGAGAGGTTCGAGGCGGCTGGTGAGGTTCCTGTGGGGTGTATGGGCTATGATCCCAATCATCGAACACCCCACAGCATCTATGGCAAGTTTAAATAGCCCGCGGCCGTGACGTCACGCGGCCGTGGGCTACTTCCGCGTTCCAGCGTGGAACGCATCTACACTTCCGTCAAGGGGGAGGAGGAGAGCGGCGTGCACCGCGGCCGATGCGCCCCAGCCTGGAACGCAGTCGGGAGGAGCCAGGAAGCCGGGGGACATTACAGTTATTCACACGGCTGCCTACAGCAGCTTTGTAAATAACCCCCATAGTTACAAAAATGTAAAGAGATCAATAAAAAGACAATCATTACAGCTTATTATCCTTTTTTTCTCAATACTTTTTTTTTTCTATAGAACAGACTAGCTAGGTAGAACTCTGTGGTGCATTATTCCAACTCAACTGTATTTGCAATGGTGACATTTATTGAAATGTGGTATCACGGACCATTGAGCTTGCCTGTTCATTTGGCATTCGTTCTGAAAGGGTCACATAAAGGGGAGATTTTGATGCGGTAGATTTAAAGATGGTTAGCAGTGTTTATCTGTAAGTGGGAGGCAGTTCAGGCATACCAACAAAGCTTTAATGGAAATAGCACATTACTTCCTTCTGCATCTTGTTTATGTTACAGAAATCTAATGGGTTACTGTACTTCTTTCCTCTTGTTAATAATAATAATGATAATAAGTTAAGGAAATTGGGAATTTTTCTGTTTACTTTGTGAAATATTTTTATGCTGTCAGTGATGAGGAAATCAATATGCCACTACCAAAATACAATCTGGATTGGGCTCATTTGAGCAAGGCATATATTTGCTGCTATTTAGTGGCAGTTATTTTCTTTTTTCTTTTAAAACTGAACTCCAGACAAACATAAAAATATCATCTTGGTACTCATGAATACATTACAAAATATGTCTTCTTTAAATGAAAGCAGTGTAAGTACCTGAAATTGATTAGCTATCAGACTTTTGCAGTCCTTGTACAACAGAGCTCATACTAGGAGCAACACAAAAAGCCATATATTTGTGCTGTAGTGGCCTTGTGCTAAAAAGGAGAATAGAATGCTAATAGGAGAAGAGAGCAGAGCGACAGAACGATGAGCTCATCAGTGTGCTGATTTTTATGTTGCTGTCTAATCACAAGCTGGGGTAGGGGCAAGATATGTAACTGTTAAGTAACTGTAGCAGAGATAAAAATTAGGTATCATGCCATGCCAAACAGGATCTGCTATATGGCAGAGCTGCGTAAATCTCTGAACAGGATAGATATAAGCTAATCCTTTGGCAGGTAACAAAATATCTTATTTGTATTTAGCTGTTTGTCTGTAGAACAGCTTTACCTGTTTTTCTTTAAGAAAAATGCAAAACAAAAGGCATTGACTTTAAATATCTGTGGACCAGGAGATATTTATGAATCTTCATCTCCACAAGTATAAGAGGCCCCTGCATTAATAATATTAGTCCATATGCTCTTCAGTATTAGGCAGTTTCCTAAAGAGGAAGCCCTAATATATGTAGCACCCATCTTAGTAGACCAGCCATCCAGTTCAGTAAAGATATAGAAGGGAGTGTATGGCTGGTCTCATCTATCCAGTTGGATTGTATTCTCAATTTGTCAAACAGTTACAAAGAGTATGATCTTTATTTCTAGGTGATACTTCAGGCTGGTGTGGAGATCCAGGTGTACCTGTACATGGGTCTAGGGAAGGTATGGAATTTAGAACAAAGAGCATAATGCGATTCACCTGTGATGTTGGATATGTGCTTTATGGATCTGAAGAAAGGATATGCTTGGGCAATGGATCATGGACAGGAAGACAACCAGAATGTAAAGGTAAGCTAACAATACTGGTCAAATCTGGAAGAGTTTTCACCCCATTTCTTGTCCCAATGACTTAACAGTATTAAGGAAATTCCAACAAGGATACCGAAAGAAAAATCTACCAGAATTTCGAACTGCACCCGAAGGAGGGAGGCTCTATCCTTTGAGATTTTATTTTAACTATGGTTAGCCAGAAATATATGACTTATTTAACTTATTTATACACATTGATGAAAAGAGAGGGGGTTATTTATTTTAAATAAAGTTGTTTTTCTGAATCATGTAGATCAATAGATTTGAGATACCAGCAGAGTATACATTATAACACAACTAGTTTTAGTGACCAGCTGAGGCATCTGTAACAAGGTGTTGATAACACCACTGTGTTTTTTATGAGCATAGCTGTGTATGAGTAAGTCAGCTTATATCAGGTACCAACAAACTTGTAAATGTCCAATCTTTCCTTTTATGTGGTATTTATATTGTATTTGTATATGTTGTTTATGTTGCATAGATAGATAGATAGATAGATAGATAGATAGATAGATAGATAGATAGATAGATAGATAGTAAGAGTAAGAGAAACAGATGTACAGTAGGCCCATAAGGCTCCATAAAACATAAACCATATACACAATAAGGCTAAAAGATTGTAGAAATCCTACCATCATTCCTATCCACATGGCCAAAATTATGTGGAATCGCCTTCAAATTATTGCATTTAGACATTCCTGTTGAAGGACCTGGTTACTGCTACCACATACAAACAACAGATTTAGTAAGCCACTGGTTTTTTTTTGTTCCAGCATGACTGTGCCACTATTCAGAGTCAGGTTGAAAATGACATTGTTTGACAAGTTTGACCTACACACAGCCCTGACTTCAACCCTAATGAGCAACTTTGAGAGAAATTGGAATGCAGATTGGGAATCAGGTCATCTTCTCCATAATCAGTACCTAACCTCACTAATGCTCTTTTGGCTGAATTACCAGCTACCTACAGACACATTTCAAAGCTTTGTGGAAAGCCTTCCCAGAAGGGGAGATGCTGTTATAGGTGCAAAGGGGGCTGACTCCATATCAATGCCCATAGTTTTTTAATGGATTTCCTACAGGCTCAGAGAGATGTGATAGTCAGGGGTCCACAAACTTTTTCCCATATTGTGTAATTTGTGTATGGGTGTGGAATAAATGGATATCGAACTATACACTTCTTTGAGGATGGGGACTGCATGGTTGCATGTTGAGAATGAGTATGGTTCCATCATACAAATGCTTAAAATAAATACATTTGCTTTTATGGCATAAACAACATGAACACACAGCCATAATTGGGCAGACATGCCAAACAGTTAAGCAAACTGTTGAATGCATCCACAAGATAAAATTGCTAGTGACATTTGTGAGTTTTTACAAGGATTCTGTAGAGTTAGTACAGTTGCTTAGATGATTTTTGAAGGGAATTGAATATCTAGCATCGTACTGTACATCTTTCTCTGATGTCTTCTAGGAGCTTGTATTCACTTTATCTTTATGACTCTATCTCCTCTTCAAGTTTTTCATCTCTTTTTAAACAAGGTGGCTTTTTTCTCAAATCTTCATTTAACATGCTGCCTGCCACACAGCTTTCACTGCTGTTTTTAAGCACACCTTGAAAATTATATCTGTCCTAAATCCTGAGGGAAACAGACTAGCCTGTTGATATTGTACAGCTTTGATTCATCTCAGCTGCAACCACCACACAGGCAAATATAGTGCTGTGCTCTCTGTTTTTATCCTTAATAACCCACGATGTCTGTAGGTTGTTTATTTCAGTTGTCAAGAAAAACTGATTAGAATCCTATTTAGATCTGGAAACTTGTATATAAAAATATTAGTATAAATTATAAAAGAAAAACTGTTTTTGTAAGATTACATCTCTTGCAAGTCCACTTTCATTTTATGTGGTGTGCGTTCTTCTTTTTTAAAGATTTATGTAATATTTTTCTCCCTTTTCATGCTCTTTTCTTTCACCTTCAGATCTTCTAGCTACCCTCACATTTGACATTTTCTAAATCTAAAGTAAGGGAACATCTGCATTACAGCACATACATGCTCCTGTATGATAGTCTGATCAAGTAGTAATTCCAGTTACTATGGGGTCTATTGCCGAAGCTGCCGGAGGATCTAGCCGTAGCTTCGGCTGATCCTTCGGCTAGCTTCGGCCCCAGGGCCCTTTCGGTTCAGTATAGCCCTACAGCTTCCGAAGTCGGTCGAGCCGAAGGCATATGCTTCGGCTCGACTGAGCCAAGGTGAAAGCCCGAAGCTGGCCGAGCGGCCGGCCGTTGGCTGGCTGACAGCCTACTTCTGACAGCTCTAAAGGAAAGTTTTGCTCTGCTCGATCGAGCAAAGTAAATCTTTCCGTGCTGTTGGCTGCCGTCAGAATAAAAAAAATAAGAAAAAAAAATATTCACCATAGGAATGCATAGCTAGATTCCTATTGGCTATTTCAATTTGCAATAGCCAATAGCAAACTAGCTATTGCACCCACCCACTGCTGCTGTCAATCAGCAGAGGGGACCTGCAGCTCTCCATCAGGTGCACATGCACTTATAATTAAGTCCTGCAGCACATATTTTTTTAACTGGAGGCCATAGCTCTACTTTAACCACTTCAGGAATGGCATGTTACACCCCCTAACAATTTGACTGCCAATTACATGCAACATTGTACCTAAATTAATTTTCTATTTTAGAGCTTTCTTCTTTGATTTGAAAAGATGCCTGTTACCCTTACTTGTTCAAATGAAATGCCAGGACAGTACAAACACACCCAAAAGGACCCATTTTGTAAAAAGTAAACACTACAAATTTTTTCTTTGCAGCAGGCACATTATTTAATAATTAGATCACATGGTACAGAGCTATCCAGTAGGCTTTGTGACTTGAGCCGATGCTCTCCATTGTCCATAGACAGCAGGAGCTTAATTGAACACACATCCAGTTGTTCAGTTTCAACAGCCGGACTTAGGGTGGTTAAGGAAAAAAAAAAAAGTTTTGTTTGCCTTTATACTTTAAGCACAACCTACATAAAATTAGAATAATATAAATTGGAAAAATTGCCAATGTCCTAAAGTCATTTTGAAAGTGTATGTATAGCTAAACCATTAATTTTAAAAAGAAGGAGGTGTTAGAACACCTGTCATGTTTTATTGCTGTCTATCTCCTCACAGAGGAGATTCATCCCTATTTGTCTTGATGACCATTGTCATTGAGATAGAAATTGATGGGAATCCAACATTGTACAGCCTTTACCCATACAAGAGGTGAGGGTAAATCTTCCAATAGGGACCCTTTTCTGGTGATCTAAGAGGCAAATTCCCCTCACTTTATAGAGATTTCCTCTCTGTTACTCTTCTGTTTCTGGGACAGTGAAAATAAATCTCCACAAGAGAGACCCAAACAGCAAACATTAAACTACCTGGGGTTTTAGCCCTTTCCTACTCCCTACCTTCCAATTTAAAAAAAAGTTTTGGCTGACGATAAACTTTGAAGAATACTTTTGTTTCAATTAAAACAAAAATGTGTTTACAAAGCAGCAGTATACTTAGAACAATGGTGTTTTATAGATTCAGATCACACTGTTCTTAGTGCACTGACATTGCCAGGAATCTGAAGCCAGCGCAGTACTATAAAATTAATAAAAAATAAGTCTCATGTCAAAGTCACATGACTGCCTCTCCTCCAATCACTCTGAGTTAAGCAGAGAGAGATTGCTGTAGAATACCATGGGCCGCATAGTTATGAATGGGTGGGATGAGGTATGCAGTAGTACTGCAATGTATAAAGATATCTACTCTTTCTCATAAATGAGCTCCTAAATATTTTTATGTCTGTGGAAATGTTTGTGAGTGTTTGTTTATATACAATTTACAGTACAGTGTTTGCATGTGTGTATACATTTATATTTATATAGTACACCTCATTGCACGAAGTATGTAGACAAAGGAAACACTACTGCCACACCTCCAGAATGTAGTCCATTACCAATTAATATTTGTTTAAACCCATTTATTACTTCTTCTCCTTAAAACAACAGATACAATACTGGATAGGCTGGGTGAAAGGTTTAATGCAGTATAACACTTTTGGTAGTAAATAGTGGATTTTATATAAAATAAAGATAGGGTTTTATATAAAATAAAGCCATCATGCTGCCCACATTTTAGTCTGTGCAGCTACTTAAAATGTAATGATATAGGCACAGTAAAGTTGGCCAATGGCAGTACCTCAGATTTAACTCTGGTTTCACTCACCCTTCCCTTTTCATGAGCATATGCTATTATTGGCATATTCTTTTTATTTCCAATTGGGCAGTATTGTGCTATACACAAGTATCTCCTCTATGAACAGAGACCTATATAAGATTGGATAAAGAAAAAAACCTCTATGTGATTTAATGGTTGTTCATGGTTGCTTTAAATATGTTTCCTGTTTTATTAGTTAAAAAACTTTTCTTTCACAATATTTTTTAGTGCAACTGTTTAGACATAATGTTCTGAGGTGTCATTGAGGCATCTAATATAATTCGCATAATCAACAGCCTAATGCTTTTCCAGCCTTTCCCTGAGTAACTGAACCAAGACAAGGCATTCGTGAAGGTAGTGAAATATATTATGGATGCTTATTTACTTGCTGCAAGAATAGGTTGTCAATAATGAGAGAGACAGTTAGATAATTCAATAATAACAGCGGTATACAATGAGTGACATGTCATCAATAATGGGGATCCAAGGCAACCTTGTCATAACACACTCAGATAATTAAGTATACCTACAGATTGTAAACACATTACAAGCAACTATTGTGACAGATGTGTCATTATAATAGCAATAAATAATGGAACCTCAAACTGGCCAGTGTTGAAATTAAATCCCTCTGAAAACATTTTTTTGGGGGGGGAAAAATACTGTTATTGGAGAAAACAAGCTCAGCTCGGAATATGTTTTAAATGTGGCTACTATTAACAATTATGACAAAACAAAATGAATACTTGAGCTATTAAAGTCGATGTGAAGACAAAAGCTTTTTGGCTTGACTTTTAGGGTTTCTAAGCTTTGCCTTACTCTATACAAAACTAGGAAAAAAAGATTTTGCATGACATACACTCTTTTGCACCTGCAGTACCGGCATGAAAACAAACTCATATTCACAATAGCAGCTGCTAATTTAACATTTCTTCTTGGGCTTTCACATAGAAGTAATTGCTGTAAAGTCATCTGATCACTTCTATACTCTGGTAAAGTGTGTATAGATTGTGTTTGTGTGCCCCAAAGTTAGAGTACAATTTATATTACAAAAAAGTAGCAGAAATTAGGTGTGACATAAAATATTGCAAATACCATTATTTTGTTCTACAAGGTCTCTACAGAGTATGTTTTCATGTAAAAAAAAAATAGTATGTGTGTGCAAAATGAAAAAAAAGGCTCTGTCAGCAAGAAGGTTAAACAGTAATTATACCTTTCTGATAAAAGTGAAAATAAAATGTAATTTTGCTACGCTTAAGCTTTTTGTGTGAAAAAAAAAACATTTTTAGAACTTTTCCAAAAGTAAATGGGGTCAAATTGACGATTAATTTTGACCACAGTGACAAAAGAAATCGAAGGAGCAGGATGGAAATTTCTAACAATGAATGTTGTTTTCATTCAAGAGACCCCATTCATTTCCAAAATCAAATGTTAAAATTGAACACATTTCTAACAATAGTCTACAAGTCTCTGATGGGATTATTGAATGTTCTAATAAGATTTTTTTTTATAAATGTTCGTCTATCAGTGCATTGCAGCTTTACCTCATCTTAGTGAAAAAGGGATGCGTTCTATAGCACATGGCTTTGACGGCTTTTTTCAGTAATAGACAGTGGGTTAACAGAATTAAAGCACACTGGAAAGAAGGTGCAAAAAGAAGGCATCCCAGAGGCACTTTAACTTAGCTCATTGCATGTGACCTCTTGCAGCATGCTGTGAGTAAGCTTGTGTCCTCCCGTTACCCTAAGGAGAACTATTGGGAAAAACACTGACCCCATAGTTCTCCTTTAAGCTAAACATAGACACACAATCTTCTTGCCAAATGTGAATGTTGTACAATGAGCATGATCCCCTAGCAATGATCCTATATTAGTAATAACCAAGAAAAATATATTGTGATCAATTGTTCCCTTCCATCCTCAGACCCTTTGGGCAATATGATTTTTTTGTTGATGATCCAACTGCTATCAGCTTGATTGAGAAACAATCATTTTGTGTCTGTGGGTAACCTGATAAGTACAAATCTAAGGGGGTTATTAACAAAGCTTCCGAAGGCAGCCGAGTGAATAATCGAGCTGAAGTGAACTGAGCCAAGTGCCGTTGGGCTATTCACTTCAGCACTGTATGGCTGATTTCAGCCGTACATTAGCTGCCTTCGGTCAGCCGAACATGCTCTGTTCAGCTGAGCCAAAGTGCATAAGTTGTTCGACTGAGCCGATCCAACATCTGGATCTGCTGAGCCGAAGCTCCTGCAGTTCACTTGCTGCCGTTCACCCCTATTCTCATAGGGGCCGAAAGGCAGTGAGTGAATAGCCGAATGCTGCCGAGTGAAAGACCAGGAAACTTTGGTGTGCGATTCATACTTTGTTTATTCTTGATTGCTGTATAGTTATGTTATATATTTCTTTATCTTCTTAGCTGTACAATGTGGGAATCCAGGAACAACGGCAAATGGAAGAGTATTCCGAATTGATGGGACAACCTTCTCCAGCTCAGTGATATATTCCTGTGTTGATGGCTACATTCTATCTGGCACAAGCATCAGACAATGTACATCTAATGGCACATGGTCAGGGAACCTACCCAACTGCACAAGTAAGTTAGCAAGAAACAAATAATTGCCATCCAGAACCCCTTATGCACTGATTGTCTTCCTCACCCTTAATTTTTCATCTCATTAATTAACATAGTGAGCAGAAAGCCCATCTATCTTGCAGGAGCTCAAAAAGGAGAATAGGTTTCCTGACATCAGGTATATGTATCGGTGATACAGGATTCAGTTGATAGCGCTGAGAGTAGTACTAATACCTTTCAGCACTGAGGTCCTAGGTTTGCCTGTTATCTTGCTCCTGTTTAAAATGGACCTGAAGTAAAAAGCAAAGATGTGCTATGTTACAGGGAACATGTAAACATTTTAATTTTGCCCAAGTAGTATCATGAAAAATTATCTTTTGTGTGGAAGCAGTCCTGAAAAATAGCAGTGCACTTTTTGGTATGCAACTGTGCCTAAGCACTCCTGTGCCCACAGCCTCATAATTATATCTGCAGGGTGAGATCTAAGGCACTGCTGTCTGTGTCTTTTCACGATTTGAAAGTATTTTGTCGTGTTACTACTGTGCTGATTAGTTTTCTGGAGACTCTGATATAATGCAGCAAAGTCTAGCTTCCACCAGGTTGGTTACTTCCACACAGACACACAGTGCTGAACAAGAAATGGAAAATCAGATTAGCAGCAAGGAGACAAACGGCAATGCTGCCTGTTTTTTTTGGTTACTGCTTCCAGACTTTCAGTTTAAATATAATGTCCCCAGCAGGGATACAAACATAAATAATTACCTGAAAGTCTATAGTTAGACTTAAAAAAAATAAAATGGCAATGGTATAATGCAGCTTCTTTTAACCTAATTTCATGTTTAAATGTTCACAGTTATCAGCTGCGGAGATCCAGGTGTTCCAGCGAATGGTCTACGATATGGAGAAGACTATATTGTTGGGCAGAATGTTACCTACATTTGTCAGCCTGGATACACAATGGATCCCAAGAGCTCAATTACACGCACCTGTACAAGTAACGGGACTTGGAGTGGCGTCATCCCAGTTTGTAAAGGTACATTTTATTATCTGAATTTTCTTTTCTAAAAAAAATTGTAAAGGATTTGTTACAGCTGCTTTCCTTTGTTGTTAATAATGATTAATTCCTACTACCAATTTAAACAATAAGTGCACTTTCAGACAAATTGATATCCTTGACCTAACAGATCCCACCCTCCCTTTCCACCTTTGCATATTTACTGATATCCAGCACCTCTTGGCCTCCTGTGTTTGATTACATTCTTTGCCAAATTCCTCTCTCTCCTGGGTTTACCTGTGCAGTAAAGTGCCATGGAAGTCCACGGAGCTCATCCCCGGGCATCTTCTGGATGGAAGCGATAGGTAGACTGGCAGTAATGTCTTTTACATCTATCTATGTCTGTAGGACATCCTATTCCAGAACCATGGAAAATAAGGGGTTGACCCCTTTGAGATTATAACAGCTTCTATTCTTTAGGCAAGACTTTTTACAACATTTTGGAGTGTGTCTGTGGAAATGTGTGCCCATTCAACAAATTTTATTTGTGGGGTCAGGTACTGTTGTTGGTTTTGGTGTGAACAAGCCCTGAAAATATATAAATGTTTTAGCCTTGACAATATAAAGATCTCCTTGCCCACTGCTCTCTTACAGAAAAACTGTCACCTTGCCCAATTGGGGACAGTGACTGAGTAAAGCGCAACCAAAAGGACAGTATACTTACCTCTCCAGTGTTTCCCCTCTGCTCCTTACTCTGTCACAGCCACCAACAAATTGCCCAATGTTATCCGTTATTGGAGTTTAGAGAGAGCAGTGACATCACTACCTCCTTCATGTAATGATTTGTGCTTGGGCCCACTAATTGGACCTAGGCATACTAGGAGGAGGTCCCAGTGCAGTTGCAGCCACAGAGGAAGGAATGCTGGGGAGTGCTGAAGAGGTCTGAATAAAGTGGGATGGGGGGTGGTTACAAATACACTGTCAATGTGTCCCTAATGGACAGAGATCAACAGATTGATGAGAAATTAACGTCCAAAATTAGATTAGGCCGAAAAATTATCCATCCCATATTAGACAACCCTGTACAAATATTCAAGGCAAGACAGTCCTGTCTGAAATGTAGCTTCCTCTGTTGTGCTCTCTCTTTAGCTAACCCTTAGTGCTCCTTTTTGATGTATTAAGATTGATTTAACAAAGTAAAAACCGACACACCAGTTTAAAATTAATAAACTGACCCAAATTCTTTAGAGTCGGCTTTAAATGGAGAACTCTAAAGCAAGGGAAATTTAGCTATTAACATTTAAAGGGAAATGATTTTGGACGTCCTGTTTAAAGGAAATATTATGTATATCTTTGATCTAGAGCAGGAAATAAAGAAAATGTTCTCCTGTGTGTTTTAGAAAACAAAGCAGTCATTGTGCAACAAGCAGCTATCTCTTTATTGCCCTTTTCATAAACAACAACCAGAAACTTACCCTCTGGCTTGACTGGAGAACTCCTTAAAAGTCAACCAACAGCATTAGGAAGGCAATGCATTGCTGTATTAAAATCCCAAAGATCTTTTGATAGAAGCAGTATGTAAAAAAATTCTGTAATTCTGTCCTGGGTTAAAAAAAAACAAAAGTTACAGAGTGTTAAAGCAGTTTCAGACTTCTAGCACTTTCCAACTGCTCATAAGCAAGAACACATTGAGTCTTCCCACTGTGCGCGCCTGCTACAGCTGTCAAAGTGACAATCACTCACCAGTCGGCCTGCTTACCAAAAGTTTTATACTGTCAGGTAGCACTTAGTAATTTTTTTTAAGTGTGTTTGCCAAGCCAAGTTGGTATTCAGAAAAGACTTCACAAAACCTTGATGAATACTGAATCGTGCAAACCAAAGACTACTGATTTACATCTCAGTGATTTTGTTGAATACACTTACATTTGTTTGAAATAAAATGAACCTTGTGAAACCATTCAAAACTATTTCATGAATCTGAACTGTGTGCTGCATTGTTCCTAAAATGGCCAAACAAGAGTTAAGATTGCGTGCCCCCATGAGGTGTTTGGCATAATGAGCTAGTACCGTATGCATGGCATATTAGCACATTATAGCTAACTTACCTTACATGCAATCCCCTCCAGTGTTGGAATGTCAGCATTCTCCTCAGCCACTGGAGGTTTCATCTTACCCCAGCCATCTTCTGGGTTCAGCATCTTTGGCCTCTTGATTGGCTGTCATAACTCCTGTGCCTGCACACAGGAATTAGTTCATTTTAGCACATGAACTTGCTGATCTTGTGCACTGAGCTGTGCATGTGTGGCTCAATGCACACAAACACTGACATGCAGGGAGGCAGCATTTATGACAGAAGATACATACATCTTTACTTTCCCTTTAAAACCATAGTGGGAAAGCTGTCTGCTGACCAGAGCAGACAGCTTTTGAATATTACAGAGTCACACCACCCTCCCTTAGGTGTTATTATGGGTATCAGAGGAGATGTGTATGCTGTGTTAGACCCTGGCTTCTTCTATGCCTTTAATACTTTAAAGGAGAACTATGAGGTGAGTGTTTTTCACTCACCTCATAGTTCTAGCCGACCTGTGACAATGAGACTGTCACAGTTCGGCTCAGTAGATCGGGAGGTGAGCGAACATATACCGGCGTTCGCTCACCTCTCGATCCTGTCACGGCTCTCTGCCGTGACAGGGGAGGGGCTGGATTCCCCCCTCCCCACTCCGATCCGCCAACGCTGACTGGCGGAACGGACGGGGGAGGGGCGGGTACAGCTGGCTCCGCCTCTAGATAGGCAGAGCCAGCTGTCACTTACGCAGCTGGTCGGATCTCGACATCGATGTCAGGATCCACTCCGGCTGGTTCGTCTCAGTATACCGCAAGCTGTAGCTCGCAGTATACTGAGCTTAGGGTAAAGGGAGGACGCTAGTTTGTGTCCTCCCGTTACCCTAAGGAGAACTATGGGGAAAAGCCCTGACCCCATAGTTCTCCTTTAATGAAGAGATCTTCTTTTCTTAATTCCTGCCTCTGCTCCTGTCTACTGGGGATTACCAATTGTTGCAAGTGCCACCCATCTTTGTGTCTTCCAGCATCTTTTGTTACATTGTTGATCACTTAAAACAAATGTCAAATCCAGCAAGGATAGAGGGAACTCCTGATAATGGCTATAGCAGACATACAGACCCATGAGCTTAAGTGTACATATCTCACCAGTAGTGTCCTCAAGAGATTTAAGAAGTTTCAAGTAATTTATATCAAGTGTATATATAGCAATGTTTACATTAGTTTTGGCTAGAATGGGGATGGTTTAGAAATTCTGTCAAATTTTTAATTGCAATCTGCGGTTCTGATGATATTTTACCAGACAGGAATTGAGGGGATATTTTGAAAAGCAACACAGACATTGTGAAACAATTGTCAGCAGTTATTGGAAACTTCTCCAATGAAGCCATGGATAGCAGTAACAACCCAGTAAAAGTTCTAACCTCTGACTAAAACTAGAAAAATGTTTTATGGATGACATCCATGTTTACTATCCAGCATCTACTAAAAACAGTGGAATTATCCTTTAATATATCTGCCCAGATAATTATATGTAAAAAGTAGAATAGGAAAAAGTATGTACATTGTTTCATTTACATGCTATGTCTGGTTGGATGCAGATGTTCAGTGTAAAGTTCATGAATTGCAAAGCATAGTAACGCAAAGTACAAAAAGTCGGAAACCATCTCTGACTGCAGTAAATTGAAATCCATTTGTTTGCTGTGGATTACTACGCTTTGCACAGCATCCTTGTACTGCCTTGTTGAGTAAGGCTGTTAATGTGCTTTTGTATGCAGGTGATAGATCCTTTGTAGTCATTCTTTTAATAGTGCTCACTGCTACATAAAATTGATTCTGTTTTCAGCTGTTACGTGCCCGTATCCCCCTCAAGTTTCCAACGGGAGGCTGGAAGGAACGAACTTTGATTGGGGATTTAGCATCAGTTACGCCTGCTTTCCGGGTTATGAATTGTCCTTCCCTGCAGTGCTAACCTGTGTTGGCAATGGAACGTGGAGTGGAGAGGTTCCGCAGTGCTTACGTGAGTTGTTTCCTGAGCTGCATTTATTTCCTTTTTCTTAAATGCGATTCAAAAACTTGAATCCAAAACCACATCTGCAGTGGTAATCATTTGTTAAGCAATTCATGTTTATTGAGTTTGTTATTACATGCCTTCTCAGGCACATTTTCATGAAACTTGTTTTAGTGCCTACAGCTAAATATACATGTAGTTATAGATATCAAAACATTTCCAGAGGCAGTATACAGTATATTTGTGGAAGAACTTGGTTCAGCTGCCGATGGTTATACGTGTCACGAGCACCTAGGGAGGCAGGAGGTCCCTAGAACACAAGCTGGGTTACAATTGTGACATGAAATAAACATCTCCCAACACTGCTGCTTACAATACATTAGAGATATCACAGCTAGCACAGTGAAACATTTATTGATAATGTATTATAGCCCATTTAAAGCCTCTGTACTTATTGTTGTAATGCAGTAAGGCATACACAAAAATTTTCTTCTTTCTCTGTATTTTTACATACTTAGGGCTAAAACACCCAAAGCTATCAGCATGCTTGTGAGTCGGACTGCAGTTCTCATACAAAAGCAATGGGCTAGGTCTCCAGCGGTTTAACACCCCCCCCGCAAACTGCTTTAATCAATAGTGATACTCGGGGAGCGGAAGGACTGTTGATTGGAGCAGTGTGCAGGGGAAGTGTCAGACAGATTTAGGCCTCTGCATTGTGTGAGAGAGCAGAGGTCCAACTCTACATCATGCTGCTAGCATAAGGCAATTTAACCCTATCTGCAGCACACACAAAAAAAATTAAGTGAGCATCATATTTATTACTGTACATGCAGTCTGGATGCATTACAATAATAAATATAGAGGTTTCAATTGGACCACACACACTGTGGTGAGCACTAGGGGGTACCAAACTGATTATTGTGCATACACTTAAAATGTACCTTGTTGGTTTAGGGTGTTATTCGTGTTTGATGTTGAATATACAGTTTGATGCAGCAAGCATGTCTCCTGTATGTAACTGTCTCCAAGGACAGAAAACACTAAAGAGAACACTGCAACATGAATTTCTCTTACCCAGTGTCTTGGTGTATTGTATGCTGGTGCTTTATTTTTGTTTTGGGGTTTATAAATTAAACTATGCTTGTTTTGGTATAAAAAAAAATAGTTGCTAAGGTAATATTAGAATTATGGATATGGTATTTTAAGTTTATAGGTATTGAGTATTTGAAAGGGCCTTTCTAAAAGCTCACCCCGCCTCTACCCACCGATAGCTGGGAGTCCAAACCCTGTGAATGCTGCATGCTGAATAGTTTAGAAGTTTATACATCCCTGAACGAGGTCACGTGCTTCTCCATACCTGAAAACACTGAGGCGGAAATTTTTCAGAACTGGAGCAGCTGTGCATGGCAACCAGATTCTCTCTTTGATTTTCAACTCATAAACTAAACAAACTGAAGAGAGAAGCTGATTGGTTACCATGCACAGCTGGTCCAGATTTTGTCAGCTCCAGTTTTGATAAATTACCCCCTGAGTGTTTCCAAAGGCAGTGAAGGCTCTTTAGATGTAAGTGATCCCGCGGCTATAAGGCTGCCAAATTGCTTGTACGGTGCGTTGGAATGTATGCCTCCACTGCTGCCTAACCCAGGCTCCGCTGTCCCCCATGCGGGCCGGGGACTGGGGCGGTGGGTCTCCCCGCATCAATGAGAGGGAGATCAGCAAGCTTCTAGCTGCTAATCTCTCCTTCGATCACTGGACCCGGAAGTGATGTGTATTACATCACTTCCGATGTCACTGTTTACATTCTCTGGCTCCTAGAGTCAGGAGAAGAAGCTGGTGAAGCAGATCACTGCTTTATCAGCTTCTTTGGGGTCCCTAGGTGACTTTAGGGGTCTAACAGATCCCTAATGTCTCCCTAAAGAAGACCCGTCATACCATATTTTCTATTACATAAGGGGCTTGTTAGCCCCCTATGTGATAGCAAAAAAGATTAATGTAAAAATAAATAAAGTTCAAGTCACATGTAAAAACATTTAAAAAATGCACAAAAAAATACAAGTGCAAACATGTTGGGCCATCAATCACTGTTAACACTAAACTTTTAAAGTGTCGCCTATGGGAAATTTGGGGTATTGTGTTTTTTTGCAGTTTCACGGGCGAACGCAATTTTAAGGCTTAACATGTTTGATATTTATTTACCTGATGTGATCCCATCTTTTAGGTGCACTAAATTAAATTTTAATGTATTTTATCCTAAAAATACTGGTTTGATAAACATTTGCACAAATACCATGCAACATAAAAAATTGCAACTAGCATTTTTTTCTACAGGGCCTCTGCTTTCAGAAAATATATAATTGTTTGGGGGTTTTGAAGCTGTTTTCCAGTCAAACATTCAGATGTTATCATGTGTGCAAAAGAAATTGCTCCGGACAGCAAGTGGTTAAACTGTGTTCCACTGTTTTTTAGCACCTTTTACTTTGACATCACGTCTACATTTTTACATGTTGGGTCTATACTTTCCTCATTGTATTTCACATACAGATAAATAAATTTCCTGTGTGGGCTGCCTCTTCTGCCAAACTGTGCAGGTAGCCCCATTAGGTTGGAGATAGATGGGCCTACATTTCAGATGAGTAGATACAAGATAAAGCTTAACTACAGGCAGCTATAAAATACATAAATTATTACAGCTCTGTGTTCAATAATACATCATTACATGTATTTTTAAATGCAACTAGTATGAGTAAGTATTGCAGCCCCCTGTACAACAGATCTCAGAAAGGGAGTGGAGCACAAAGAGCCAATAAGTTTTGTTGAAGTGCTCATGTGCTAACAAGGAACATGGCGATGGGGGAAAGAGCAGAGTGACAGGAGGTGAGTTCATTAGTCTGTTACTCCTTTCACTGCCCAGTCACAGGCTTGGGGGGTTGGGTCAAGACCTACTGTATTACTCATAGTGCAGCAGAGTAAAGTCAGGTGTCCGGACTGGCTGTGCCATGTAGTAGGAATGAATGGACAGAAATACCAATTCTTTGGCAGGTAAAATAGCTCCCTCATTTGACGTCTGTGTTTTAGCTATTTGACTGGAGTCCATCTTTAAATGAAAGGTCAATAAAACAAATGAGAAATGCCACATACAAAAGAACTAAAAATTGCTGATCATTGAGAGTAGATGCTTATTGGAGCAATTTTCCACCTTTTGGAATATCAGTCTTTGCAGATTCAGACAACAATTCACCAATGTGAGAAGATAGCATGCGTAACATAGGTTGTACACTCAGAAGGGAATGTCAGACCCAAAAAATCATATGGGTCACATAACTGCCCAATGTCATCTTGAAGCATGGTCCCTGTATTTCATGAGCAAAATATGCCTGCCAATATTTGCATATATGATTTAAAACTATACATGAAAGCAAAACATGAGAGATGCCCTCATACAAAACCATGATCTTCAATCCCTTTTTCCTGTGCTGACTTTTGACAGCTGTCAGTGGATGCTGCTGACCTCCGTTCACCTCTACATGAAAAGAGGTTACTGTGGGCACGAATAATGTCAGCTAGATGCATTTTTGGTCTTCTGATATGCAGAGCTGTGCTGATATGCAATGTGCCCCCAGTGTCCTCTATTCATCATATTGGTGCCACTGACAGCTGTCAACGGTGCAGGAATGCAGCTATGAAAATCTCTTAATTGTAAGGGCACTTGAATGTACAATGATACAATTGTTTACACTATTCTGTATATACACACAGATTACTGATATTTCTATTTAAAATAAAAAAGTATTTCAATATATATATATATATATATATAATGTAAAGCCTGCATTTTACTTTTAAAGTGACACTAAACCCAGGAGTTAAATCTTAAAAATACATTCAAGTACCTTGACTATTAATAAAAATGTATCTTATTTCTGTATCACACTACAGCCGAGTGATACACACATAAGATACAGCTTTATTAATAGTTAAGGTACTTATTTTTAAGACTTAACTCCTGAGTTTAGTGTCACTTTAAATATACATTTTGCTCTAGAAATAAAAAAAATTATATGAGTGACATACTAGAATTATAAATGCACCACTAAAAAAAACAAGCACGTCTATAAAAAAATAGCCCCATAAACTCTTTAAAAAATTTTGTTTTTTATTCAGTTCTTGTTAGCTGTGATGTAATTCATGGCTACTGCCTAACAGATATTAATTTATTGGATTACCCCTATGGATTCTGTTAGAAAATAACTGTATTACAAGGAAACAAAAGCCTTTTTGATCTTTTAGGTTGAAAAAAATGGTAATGTTAAGATGTAGCATGCTATGCTATGTTGCTATGGTATATTGTTTTTAGACACTCCATGAACGTTTCTATAGAGATCATCAGTAAAAGAATGCAATGCATCTATATTGTCTATTTAGTCACCTATTATTTCTTCCTAGGAAATATATTTACAGTATATCAGAAAGAATTTCAGAACCTTAACAGCATGCCTTCTATCTAGCTTCCACATCACTGCCCCTCAAAAAACAGAAACAAAAAAGACTGATTAATTCAGTTATTATATGTTAAAAAACATTTCATTTTAATGCAGATCCTCTAAATGTCAGTTACTGAAACTGTGTTGAAATCATCCTCCTGTAATTTCCCTTTACAGAAGCAATGGGGGTGGGGGGAGTAGGAGCAAATCATGTTCTGCAGCAGTCAAAACATGCTGACAGAAGAATAGAGCAGAGGGGTGATATCAGTAATGTTATATGTTATATATTTGTTGTAAAGCACTGTAAAACCTGTTGGCGCCATATAAATCCTGAATAATAATAATAGAAGTGTGCTGCATCTCCTTCATTGTCCAATCAGGAAACAGGTAGAGAAACCTGCACCTGCTGTAGTGATATAACTAAAGTGGATGTGGCTGTACTGCAGGACATGGGAGAAGAAGGGTGACAACCCAGAGTTAGCTGCACAACCCTATGCTTTAAAGCATTATGGGAGCCCCTAAACATGG